TGGCTCTGGTAGGGGATTTTAACTTCCAAACATAGACTGGGACTGTCATAGTGCGAAGGGCTTTGATGGAGGGGCATGTGTTAAGCGTGTACGAGAAAATTTTTTGATTCACCTTGTGGATGTACCTACCAGAGAAGGTGCAAAACTTGACCTACTCTTGGGGAAATAAGGCAGGGCAGGTGACTGAGGTGTCAGTGGGAGTACTCTTTAAGGCCAGTGACCATAATTCTATTTGTTTTAAAATAGTGATGGAAAAGGATAAACCAATCTAAAACTACAAGTTCTAAATTGGAGGAAAGCCAATTTTGATGGTATTAGGCAAGAACTTTCAAAAGTTCATTGGGGGCAGATGTTCACAGGTAAAGGGACAGCTGGAAAATGGGAAGCTTTCAAATTGAGATAATGAGAGTCCAGAGATAATATGTTCCTGTTAGGGTGAAGTGCAAGGCTGGTAATGTAGCGAATGCTGGATGACTAGAGAAATTAAGGTTTAGGTAAAGAATAAGAAGGAAGCATATGTCAGGTATAGACAGCAGAAATCAAGTGAATCCCTAGAAGAGTATAAAGGTAGTAGGAGTATACTTAAGAGGAAAATCAGGGAGGGCATAAAAGGGGGCATGAGATAGCTTTGGCAAATAGGGTTAAGGAGAATTCAGAGGGATTCTACAAATACATTAAGGATAAAAGGGTAACTAGGGAGAAAATAGGGCCCCTGAGAGATCAGCAAGGTCGCCTATGTGTGGAACTGCAGGAGATGGGGGAGATACTGAACAAGTATTTTGCATCAGTATTTATTTTGTAGAAGGATATGGAAGATAGAGAACATGGGAAAATAAATAGCGACATCTTGAAAAATATCCATATTACAGAGGAGGAGGTGCTGGATGCCTTAAAACACATAAAGCGGAAACATCCCTGGGACCTGATCAGGTGTACCTGAGAACTCTGCAAGAAGCTAGGGAAGAGATTGCTGAGCCTCTAGCCAAGATATTTGTAACATCGATAGCCACAGGCGAGGTGCAGGAAGACTGGAGGTTGGTTAAAGTGGTGCCATTATTTAAGAAAGTGGTAAGGAAGAGACAGGGAACTATAGACCGGTGAGCCTGACATCAGTGGTGGGCAAGTTGTTGGAGGGAATCCTAAGGGACAGGATTTATGTGTATTTGGAAAGGAAAGGACCGATTAGGGATTGTGTCTCACTAACTTCATTGAGTTTTTTGAAGAAGTATTGAAGAGGATTGAGGGCAGACCGGTGGACAAGGTTTATAAGAACTTCAGTAAGGCATTTAATAAGGTTCCTCATGGTAGATTGGTTAGCAAGGTTAGATCACATGGAGGAATACAGGGGGAGCTAGCCATTTGGATACAGAACTGGCTCAAAGGTAGAATACAGAGGGTGGTGGTGGAGGGTTGCTTTTCAGACTGGAGGTCTGTGGCCAGCAGTGTGCCACAAGGATCAGTTCAGGGTCCACTGCTTTTTGTCATTTATATGAATGATTTAGGTGTGAACATAGGCGGTATGGTTAGTAAGTTTGCAAATGACACCAAAGTTGGAGGTGTAGTGGACAGTGAAGAAGGTTACCTCAGAATACAAAGGGATCTTGATCAGATGGGCCAATGGGCTGAGGAGTGGCAGATGGAGTTTAATTTAGATAAACGTGAGGTGCTGCATTATGGAAAGGCAAATCAGGGCAGGACTTATATACTTAATGGTGAGATCCTGGGGAGTGTTGCTGAACAAAAAAACCTTGGAGTTCAAGTTCATTGTTCCTTGAAAGTGGAGTCACTGGTAGACAGGATAGTGAAGAAGGTACGCTTGCCTTTATTGGTCAGTGGATTGAGTATAGGAGTTGGGAGGTCATGTTGCAGCTGTACAGGACATTGGTTCGGTCACTTTTGGATCATTGTGTGCAATTCTGGTCTCCCTGCTATAAGAAGGATGTTGTGAAACTTGATAGGGTTCAGAAAAGATTTACGAGGATGTTGCTGGGTTTGGAGGGTTTGGGCTATAGGGAGAGGCTGAACAGGCTGGGGCTATTTTTCCTGGAGCATCGGAGACTGAGGGATGACCTTATAGAGATTTGTAAAATCATGAAGGGTGTGAATAGGGTAAGTAGATAAGGCCTTTGCCCTGGGGTGGGGAAGTCAAAAGCTAGAGGGCATAGGTTTAAGGGGGAAGGGGAAAGATTTAAGAGGGACCTAAGGGGTAACTTTTTCATGCAGAGGGTGGTGCGTGTATGGAATGAGCTGCCTGAGGAAGTGGTGGAGGCTGGTGCAATTACAACATTTAAAAGGCATCCGGATGGGTATATGAATAGGAAGGGTTTAGATGGATTTGGGCCAAATGCTGGCAAATGGGACCAGATTAATTTAGGATATCTGGTCAGCATGGACGTGTTGGTTTTAAAGGGTGTCGTTCCATGCTGTACATCTCTATGACTCTCTGACTAACTGTCGCATCCTCATATTGTTTAGAATCGCGTGGTTTCTAAAGCTATCATGTTCTCAATTCAGCAGCACCTTTTCAGTGTTTGGATCTTCAGGCTTCATTGACTACCCCTTTCCTTGTTGTCTGATACTGGTGACTTGCTGTCTTCCTTCATTTCGTACACCTTTCCCTCGTTGACTGGCCTTCTCTGCAGATGGTCTCATTGAACTGATTTATAACTGTAGAGCAGTTTGATCCTATACAGTCTTTACGTATGGAGAACAAATAAACCCAAGGCATTTCTTATACAAGACTATAATTACGTACCTTTGAGGCACCGGGAGGGTCCAATAACTGAACGGACTCCCATTTAACCTCAGCAAGAAGACCTCAGACCGTGGTCTTTTCCCCACTGCGTCTTGGCGGTATCTGTCCCAAACCTCAGCAAGTAGTCCTGAACCTTGGAATGTGCCAGTCTGCAACACTCAGACAGGGTCAACTCCTTGCTCTGGAAGACCAACAAGTTTCGGGCAGACCAAACAGCGTCTTTCACTGAGTTGATGGTCCTCCAAGCGCAGGTGATGTTTGTCTTGTTGTGCATCCTGGGGAACAGACCTTGTAGCACACAATTGTGCATCACTGAGCTGCCTGGGATGAACCTTGACAAAAATCACTGCATCTTTCTCCAGACTTCCTTAAAAAGACACATTCTAGCAGGGGGTATGTAACTGACTGCTACCCCCACCCACACACAGCAGCTTTGAGGGCAGCGTGCAGTGGCACAGAGAGCCTGGCTACACATGAAAAATCTGACAGGTATTGCCCTTCTCACCACCAGCTAAATGATGTCTTGGTGCTCATTGGTGATGAGGCATTCTGCCAAATGAAGTTGATAGTCTGCTCAGGGAACCAGACAAAAGGATCCACCCTCTCCTTTTCCTGCAGTGTCTTGAGGATGCTACATGCTGACCACTTTCTGACGGACTTGTGAGCAAAGGTGTTTCTGATTTGAAATTTCTCCGTGAAGGACAGGAGATATGGGACAGTCCAACCACTTGGAGCATTCCGTGCTAGTGAGGCCAGTCCCATCCTACGTAACATCGGGGACATTCAGAACCTCAGTACATAGTGACACTTGGTATTTGTGTACCGAGGGTCTACACGCAGCTTTATGCAGCCGCACACAAAGGTGACCATCAGGATGAGGGCAGCATTGAGTACATTCCTCTCCCCCACTCCACTTATCCGGAGCTTTGCACATGGTGTCCCTGCAGACACGGTCCATCTTAGACCTCCAGATGAAGTGGAAGATGGCTCAGGTGACTGCAATGGTGCAGGTTCTGGGAATGGGCCAGACATGCGCCATGCACAACAACACAGAGAGTACCTCACACCTGATGATCAGGTCTTTAGCCACAATAAAGAGGGAGCATTGTTCCCAAAAGCTTAGTTTCTGCCTTAACTTGGTGATATGCTTCTTCCAAGTTTTTGCACATGCCCCGGCCCTACGGAATCATATTCCCAGCACCTTCAGGTAATCTGTCCTGACGGTGAAGGGGATAAAGGATCAGTCAGTCCAATTCCCAAAGAACATGGCTTTACTCTTGCCTGGATTTACCATGGCTCCTGAGGCCAGTTCAAACTGGTTGCAGATGCTCATGATCCAAGCAGAAAATGGCAACATCATTCACATGCAGGGAGGCTTTGACCTGCAGGCCACTGTTGCCTGGAATAGGCACCTCGCTCAGGCTCACATCCTTCTTGATGGACTCAGCAAAGGGCTCTATACAACACACAGATAAGGCAGGAGAGAGTGAGCAACCCTCCCTGACTCCAGATCTGTTCGGGAAGCTTTCTCATTCCCACCCGTTGATTGAGACTGCACTAACGATGTTGGTGTAGAGCAGTTGGATCCAATTGCGGATTCCCTCCCCAAAGCCCAGTTTGAGAGAACATCCCACATGTAGGTGTGCGATATCCTGTCAAAGGCCTTCTTCTGGTCCAGGCTGATGAGGTATGCATCCATCCCCACCCCAGTCCTGCACGTAGGCGATCCTATCCCTGAGGAGTGCGAGGCTCTCGGAGATTGCCCTGCCCGGTACAGCACATATTAGGTCAGGGTGAATCACCAATTCCAGAGCAAACCTGACCCAGTGGTGATCTTAGACAGGATTTTGTAGTTTGCCTTCAGCAGTGAAATTAGTCGCCATTTTCTAATTACCTCCCTCTTCCCCCTTCTGCTAACAGAGGAGGGTGACGATTTCTTTCCTCATGGATTCACTCATGGGACCTGCTGGAGGTGTACGACAGCTCCTGGCCAATCAAGTCCCACAGAGCTGAATACTCAGCCGGGAAGCTGTCTCTTCCGGGAGTTTTATCCTTTTCTAAGGACGTGAGAGCCTTGATCAGCTCAGTCAGAGATAATTGCTGGTTGAGTCTCTCCTGTGTGCTTTCATCTAAGACCTCTGTGGTAGAGGACAGGAAGGACTGGGAGGCCATGCTGTCAGTGGGCATCGTGTCACACAGTCTGACATAAAAAAGGGTTCACTGATCCTCCGGATGTCAGACACAGATGATGAAACAGAGCCATCTTCTTCCTTCAGGTGCTTATTCAGACCATCGCTGCTCCCAGCTGCTGGAAGCTATGGTGCGATATGTACCCCTTGGTTCCTGATGACTGGGGGTTGGGCAACACTGGGCCCCTCACAACGTCTGGCATTTCCAGGTTACGGGGTGCTCCTCTCCTTCCCCTGTGGAGCTGTGCCTCTCTTTTATTTTGTCAATGACCATCTCTCTGCACACCTTCAGCAACAACAGAGTTGCTGGTATGTCCATCATGCAGTTATCTCTTTCCGTTTTGCTGTGGGCTTTTGGGGGCCTGACTTGTTTTCCTTTTCCCATTTGTTTCTCACCAGTGTCTACTCCCCTGCCTCGTTCATTGCCTCCTCCTCCTCCATTGACTCTGCCTTCTCAGGTTGAGTTTGGGTCAGTTGTTGTGCTGCTGCACTAGCTAACTTTTCCTCGCCTCTGGCCTGTCCCTCCTTCTGGGTGCCCCTTATTTCAGTTTTCTTGCTGGAGGTTGACACCATACTGTCCTTTGGGAGTCCTCGGCTCGCAATGCCACTTCCATCCATCCAAGTGTATGCGACACTCTTCCCCATTCCACCCCACCCTACGCTACCCACCCACCCAGTGGCAGGTTCTTGTTTTTATATTATCCATATCTCCCCTGCTTTGAAAATGTGGATGTTAACCCTCTGAATAGGTTCCTGTCACTTTTATGTGATACGGTATCATTTAACATTATTCCTTAATCATTCCGTGAAAATTCCTTGAGGAAGCTGTGGGCTTTTTAAACTAGTCCGTTTGGATATTCCTTTCATTTCTTCCAAATCCTTTTGTGAAAGCTTTCTAAATAAAGCTATTTCACTTCTGGGTGTTATTTAATCCTGATATCCAATGGTAATCACAGGATTAAGGATGTTTGTCATGTCTCATCAGTTGGATGCTTAGGTTTTATGTTCTAGTGTCTCTCCCGTTGTTAGCGTCTTATTGTCATGCCTAGGAGTGATTTTGTCAAGTGTCCTTTTATACCTTTTTGAGCAATTTAAACTATTGATATACCTGTATCTATGTTGAGCATTATTCTATTAATTAATAGCATGTATGTTGTACAAATCCCCTTCTAGGTATATTTTCATTTCAAAGTGGACCTTTTTTTAGCTTTTCCTGCCGACTGTGATAGTGTCTTTAGTTGTTAACTCCTTGTTCTTTGTGAAGCTTTAATTTTACTTATGTTTATTATCTCTGTGTGTCATATCTAGTTAGTTATTCTTGTTTCTCAATCCAAGCTATATTTCTAACAGATTTTCTCCTGCCCATATCATGTAACATTTCCTTCAACCCATGTGATTGTCCACAGATCCTGCAAGTCATTCTCTCTGGTGCATGTTTCTTTGTTTCAGTTTCGCTGGATTGACATTGCTACCTTTCTCTTCACTTAATCCAGGCTACCCGTTTAGGTAATCAGTGTCTGTCTGTCTGTCTGTTGTGGCCTCATGTGCTCTGCCAGTATCTTTAACCACTGGTATTGTGATCTTCCCCCTTCTGTTTAGCGCTTTCTGCCTAGTCTACCTATTGAGAGTCACTGGATTAGGAGCAACGTCCTGACCAAGTTATGTTTCTGAGTGAAACCAAGCCGACACTGTCATTTTTCAAAGGTGATTTAACTCCAGGAGGGACAGAATGTCAAGCCCTCCTAGTTTATTTGTGTTATTCCCACACTAAATAACACCTGGAGTGTCTGACTGTTGATGGGGAACTAAAAAGTAGAGTTGTTTTATTTAGATAAATTCTTACTTAACAGCCCTCTCCCTTTTTTTGAAGGGAATGCAGAAGAAATACTAAAATAGTTAGCTGAAAGTAGTTCCAACCAACCTTTACCAACACCATTTCAATCTCTCCAGGTTTGTGAATGATTTTATAAACAACATGAAATTTAACATCTTCTTCACATTTAACCGGTTGCCATTGCGACTACAACACCGAGCTGCACAACTAGCCAAGTACACCAACCTGAAGGATGTGCTCTTTCCCACTTATTCTGATGAACAATGCATTCACCCTTTGGAAAAAAGTTTGGCGTGAGTAACCCCAACTGGAACCACTGACTGAGAGCCAGGAGCTGGTGAGGGATGGGAGCTAGATGGTATGGCAGTGAACAGAGCAGCCCCAAGCTTTCTCTGGGTTCATCAAGGCCCACTTAGAAGTTGATGCCTCCAGCGAGAGGTTCTGATTATCAGGAATGTCCATTGAACAAGTCAGGATCCCTATTCCCTCCAGAGAAGAGGAGACTGAAGGGTAACCTTGTAGAGGCCGTTACAATTATGGAAGTGTTTGATTGGATGATGGAGAAAAATATTCCCACTTGCAGGGGAGACCAAAAATTGGAGAGTCACAAATTAATAAGTGTGTAATTCAGGAGAAATGTCATTTCCCAGAGAGTAGTGAGAAAGAGAGCTGACTCCCACAGGGAGTGGTTAAAGGGGCAGTTTTGGGAGTCTCGGTGGCTCAGTGGTTAGCACTGCTGCCTCACAACACCAGGGACCTGGGTTTGATTCCACCCTCGAGCAACTGTCTGTGTGGAGTTTGCACATTCTCCCCGTGTCTGCATGGGGTTCCACTGGGTGCTCCAGTTTCCTCCCACAATCCAAAGATGTGCAGGTTAGGTGGATTGGTCATGCTAAATTGCCCATAGTGTTCAGGGATGTGTAGGTTAGGTGCGTTTCTCATGGCAAATGGAGGATTACAGGGAAAGTGTAGGAGGATGGATCTGGGTGGGATGCTGTTTGGAGGTTCAGTGTGGATTTGTTGGGCCGAATGGCCTGTTTCACCCCCGTATGGATTCTATTCTATTCTAAAGTCAATAATTATATCTGTTTTACTGATGTTAGATAAACTTATGAGAGAGAAAAGAACAGATGTTTATGCCAATAGGATGGGAGGACCTAAAGGGTGAGGACCATTGCACAACTAGTTGGGTTGAATGGCCTGTTCATGTGAGAGAATTTACCTCCCAGGAAATAACTTTGCTCTGAACCAGTTTCTGCTATTTTGCTGATAGCTGAAGATGGTTGATTGAAGGGGTTATAGTTGAGTGTAGCTCCTTTTAGAAATTTGAATGTTGTATGTGTTTATTTTATTCCCATGTTAATAATTTATTTTTAAGATTTTATGACCGATCCCTTGAGGAAAATCCAGAACAGGTTGCAGCTGTCCATTGCATTGTGTCCGGGATCTCCAGGCCCGCTCCATATCTTGTGTTTGGTCCTCCAGGAACTGGGAAAACGGTTACTATCGTAGAAGCTATCAAACAGGTACAAGGCGTCATTTCCAAGATTCTGTGTGTGTTGAGGTTGGTTGGCTCGCCGAGCTGGTTGTTTGTTCCGCAGACGTTTCGTTACCGTGCTGGGTAACATCCTCAGTGCAGCCTCCGATGAAGCGTCAGTGTGTTTTCCCGCCTGGTTTTTAAACTCTGGGGTCCGTGCCTCACTTCCGGGTTTCCTCCGTAGTGGAATGTGTATGGGGTCGGGTTCAATGTGTTTATTAATAGCATGCTTCGTGGAGTGCCATGCTTCCAGGAATTCTCGTGCTTGTCTCTGCCTAGCCTGTCCCAGGATCTTGGTGTTGTCCCAGTCGAAGTCATGGTTCTCCTTGTCGAAGTCATGGTTCTCCTTGTCTATGTGGATTCTGTGTGTTTCAGCTCCTTAACAATGTACTCCCTGGAATTGGAGGAGTGTGCGAGATGGATGGTGGAGATTCCCTTTCCCAAGCACTGTTTCCTAGACTACTCTCATTGTCCTCATTGAGGAGCACATGTAGTACCTTGTTCTGTGTGTTTCTCATTTTCCATTCCTGCCCAGTTTCTTGGAAAGAACATGATCCATCTGATTTGTGAAAGTGACTGCCTGGCTTTGAGAGGACCTCATCAAAGTCTGAATCTTGAGCCAAACATCAGTCATGGTTTCCTTCCATCCTTGCTTTTCACTTCTGTCGGTAATGTCGTCAGCAAATCAGTTACTCCCATTTTATGTGGACAGTCAGTGTTGGAGGTTCAGGGAAAGCTGTGTTTGTTTGTGAACAGCATTTGCTGTCGGTACCTTTTCATGTTAGACTTAGTTCCTCAGATGTCCTGCACACTGATAATGTGGCAACATCTTATGTTTCAATAAAACCGCAATTGAAGAGTTGTGACAGTCTTCGTGTGTTTACACATCTGGGGAAATAGAAATTTCAACATCGTTCCCATCTTAAATTATTTTAATTTAGCTTTGAGCCTCTCAGCTGCAACATCATGTTGAATCACACTTTGTGCTCTCACTGATATTTTGATTCTTATTCCACAAGAGCAGGCCTTCATTCAAAAACATCCAATCAGCCTTTTAACCCAGTTTCAATGGCCGACTGATCGGTGCTTTAACTCCATTTAACTGCCTTTGTACCTGATGCTTGCTAAACCTGACAAATACCCATCAATTTTGGTTCTGAAATTTATATCTGATTCTCAGCCTCAACCTGTTTTTTGGGTGGGAAGAATTCCATAATTTGCATAACCTATTTTTGTCAGGAAGAGCTTCCTGCTCAAATGTCTGGGTGCAAGGTTGTGACTCCCTATTCTGTAATCTACACAAGTGCTTTCTCACCACCTACTCAGTCGAATTTCAGAGGGGAGCCATGAGGGACTATTTTTGACATCAAGGTGATATTTGACCAAGTGAGCATCAAGGAGCTCTAGTAAAAATGGAATCACTGAAATCAGAGAAAACTTTCCACTGGTTGGAGTTGTGCCTGACACATAGGAAGATGGTTGTGTTTGTTGGAGGGCAATTATCTCAGTCTAAGGGCATCTCTGCAGGAGTTCCTCAGATTAGTGTCCTAGGCCCAGCTATCTTCAGCTGCTTCATCAATGACGTTCCATCCACCATAAGGGCAGAAGTAGGAATGCTTGCATAATGTTAAGATTTGCCACAACTCATGTACTGAAGCAGTCCATGTCCAAATGACTACAAGACCACAAGACACAGTCGCAGTTGTAGCCATTCAGCCTTCGATGAGGTTATGGCTGATCTGCTAATTCTCAAAACCACTTTACTGCCTTAGCTATGTATCTCAACTTTGAATATACTTAACAATCCAGCCTCAACTGTTCTCTGTGGTAAAGAATTCCACAAATTCACTCCCCTCTGACCTCCAAGTGCTCCGGTTTCCTCCCACAGTTCAAAGATTTGCAGACTAGGTGGATTGGTGATGCTAAATTGCCCATAGTGGTAAGGGATGTGTAGATTAGGTGGGTTATGGGGAAATGGGTCTGGGTGGGATGCTCTGAGGGTCAGTGTGGACTTGTTGGGTCGAAGGGCCTGTTCCCACACTGTAGGAATTTTATGATTCTTCTATGAAGCAATTCCTCCTTTATCTGTCTTGAATGAGCCGCCCTTTAATCTAAGATTATGCTGTTCTGGTTCTAGCTTCTCCCACAAGGTGAAGCAATCTCTCCACATCTACCCAATCAAGACCCAGACAATATCTGGGTTGGGCTACTGAGTGACAGGTGCGTTTGTGCCTCACAAATGCAAGGCAGTGACCATCTGCAACAAGAGAATCTATCCATCGCCCCTTGATCTCCAGTGGTGTTACCATTGTCGAACCTCCCATGATCAACATTCCTTGGGGGAAGAAAGTTACCATTAACTGGGAATTAAACTGGTCCAGTAGGCCAGCAGCTAGGAATTTTGATGAGAAACTCTCCTCCTTTCACCCAAAGCCTGTCCATCATCTCCAAGGCACAAGTCAGGAGTGTAATACAGAGAAGGAAAATGTCAAAAATAAGAGCAGGAGTAGGCCACTCAGCCCTTGATCCTGCACCACTGTTTAGTATGATCATGGCTGCTTTCAGCCATACTCTTTGGTCCCTTTAGCCTGAAGAACTCCACCTTGAAATGGGTGATGGAATACTCCCCACTTGCCTGGATGAGTGCAGCTTGAACAACACTGAAGAAGCTTGATACCATCCAGAATTTTGCAGCCCACTTGATGAGATCTCCATCTAATACCTTCAGAATTTACTGTCTCCACCACTGATGATCAGCAGCATCATTAACAAGTGCATACCATCCACAAGACGCATTGCAAAAATTCACCAAGGCTCCTTAGACAGCACCTTCCAGCCCTCAACCACTTCCATCTAGAAGGACAAGGGCAGCTGATACATGGGAAGACCACCCCCTGCAGGTTCCCCTCCAAGCCATTCACCATCCTGACTTGTAAATATTTTGCTGTTCCTTCGCTGTTGCTGGGTCAAAATCCTGGAATTCCCTCCCTAATAGCATTATCGGTTTACCTACATCACAGGGATTGCAACAAAGGTAGCTTACCGCCTCCTTCTCAAGGACAACTAGGAATGGGCCAATAAATGTTGGCCCAGCCAGCAAAACCCACATCCCATGAATGAATGAAAAAACAAACCCTGGATCTCGCTTTTTAACAGTACTGTGGATTTACCTATGCCCCAAGGCCTGCAGTTGTTTAAACGGGTAGCTCACCATCAAATTTTAAGCAATTAGAGATGGGCAATAAATACTAGCCCAGCCAGAAACCCCATGTCCTAAGAATGAAGAAAAATTTATTTGATGTCTTGCACTGTAATTTTTATCATCCGCCCAGTAGAGAAAATGGAACCTTGTTTTAATACTTTGCCTGAAAGTCAGCAGTAAGGTTGTCTTGCAGTACTGCATAGGCAGTGTCAGTCTGGGTTTGATGGACTTGTCTCTGAAGAGCTACCAGTGAGCCAGGTTGAAATGGTTCCTCTCAATTTGCAATGATACTTGAGTATTTGCATATGCCTCAGACAATTCAGTGCTAGCTATTTGGAATTCTACCTTGTACAACTATTCAGTGACTAAATGACTCACAACACAGGAGGCCATTCAGCTCTGTGCCTTCTATGACCTAGCACCAACCTCCTGCCTTTTTCCCCATCTCCCTGCGCACCATTTCTATCCAAATAACCATCCAACGCCTCCAATTGAACCTGCCTGAACCACATTCCAGGCAATGCATTCCATACCCTAACTACTTCCTGTGTGAACAAGTTTTTTTTCCTTACATCACCCTTGCTTCAGTTCCACATCACTTTAACCTTAGCCTGTGCCATCTTATTCCTTTTACAAGTGGGAACAGCTTCTCCCTATTCATTCTGTTCAGCCTGCAAACTTCTTTCAAATCTCCTGTCTCACCCTAGCATCATCTTGTCTAAGGAGAATTGTCCCAACTTCTTCAGCCTCCCCTCATCACTGAAGTTTCTCTTTCCTGGAACCAATCTTGACTCCCTAATGTTGAAAACCAAACTAAGATTCAGATCTCCTTTTTGCAGCTGTTTCCTGGTTTAGAAATGGAAAATTGGCCAAATTGTATTTTAAAAAGTCAACAGCCCTGTCTTTAATTTGTTAAAATGTGAAGGATGTTGCTGTGAATAATTGCTTAACCCCATATTAAAGGAACAGATTTTGGTTTCCCACTTCCTATTCACCACCCCTTTGGCTGGACCACTGCTGTTGATCAATTCAAGCCTTTCATACAGCCCTGCAGGAAGACAACCCCTGGCAACATTGCAATATTTCAGCCATGACCTACTTTGTGGTGTCAGTCCCACTTTCAGAGGAGCGAATTGGATCTTTTGTGTTCTGCCTGCGTGTGTAATGACCCTGATCACCTTCACACTCTCTCAGATTTTGTGAATTTCAGCACCGGTTTGGAGGAAGTGACCCAGATAGCACAAAGTATTTTTAGGACATCATGTGACGGTGTCATATCCTCACCCCTTTTCACTCACTCAGCAATGAAGAAGGCACAACCAGAAAGTTACAAGGTTGAAGCAGATATAGCTATCAGCAGATTGAACAGGTTGTAGCTGGGTTCTATAAGGAACAGAAGGCTGAGAGAGACCTGACAGAGGAAGTAGTCGTTATAACTCATGACTAGGCCGCACATTCTACCCTGAGTAAGTTTGATGTCATCCAAAACTCTACCAGTGTCTTAACACACACCACATCCTACTTACCCATCATTCCCATGCTTGCTAAAGTACCTCAGATGCTGGTTACACAACACCATGATTTTAAAATTCTTGTCTTTGTTTTTGAATCCCACCACCCAGAAGTGGTAAACAGTAAAAATTAAAGATGGTATATACTGGTTTTATATAATCCAGAATGGAGCTCCAGTGTGACCAGCACATTCATTTCCAAGTATGACAGTTTGTCATTGGTCTTTCCCCTCTGGATATGGTCCCTTCCCTCCCTGTCTCTGTAATTTGTCCCCAGACCACAAACCCTCCAAGCTCTCTGTTTTTTTCTTTATTTGCTCATCAGATGTGGGATTGCCCACTCCTGGTTGCTCTTGAGAAGGTGGTGGTGAGCTGCCTTCTTGAACCATTGCAGTCCATGTTCTGTAGGTAGACCCATAAAGCTGTTAGGGAGGAAATTCCAGGATTTTGACCCAGTGACAGTGAAGGAACAGCGATATATTTTCAAATCAAGATGGTGAGTGGCTTGGAGGGGAACTTGCAGGGGGTGGTGTTCCCATGTATCTGCTGCCCTTATCCTTCTAGATGGCAGTGGTCATGGGTTTGGAAGGTACTATCTAAGGAGTTTTGGTGAATTTCTGCAATGCGTCTTGTAGACAGTGCACACTGCTTCTTTAGAGCGTTGCTGATGGAGGGAATGTATGTTTGTGGATGTGATGGGCTGCTTAGTCCTGGATATAGTCAAGGCTCTTGAGTGTTGTTGGAGCTGCACCCATCCAGGCAAGTGGGGAGTATTCTAAAACACTCCTGATTGGTGCCTTGTCGATGCTAGAGGCTTTAGGGAGCAAGGAGGTGAATTACTCACCACGGTATTCCTAGCCTCTGACCTGCTCTTGTAGCCACTGTGTTTACGTGGTGAGTCCAGTAGAGTGTCTGGTCAATGGTAACCCCCAGGATGTTGATAGTAGGGGACAGTAGGTTGATAGTAAGGGAATGTCGAGGGATGGTTGTTAGATTGTATCTTATTGGAGACGGTCATTATCTAGCATTTGTGTGGCACAAATATTACTTGCCGCTTGTCAGCCTGAGCCTGGATATTGTCCAGATCTGTTTCATTTGGACATGGACTGCTTCAGTATCTGAGGAGTCACGAATAGTGCTGAACACTGTGCAATCATTGGCGAACATCCCCACTTCTGACCGTTATAATGGAGGGATGGTCACTGATGAAGCACATAAAGGAGATTTTGTTTGACACTGCTCTTATGAAGTGCCCAGGGATAGTTTGATTTGTTACAGATGTCATGTAAATATAAATTGTTGTCCTTAATTTAAAATAATTGAAATATTTGCAAAACAAACAGATTTCTAGACATTAAAGGGTTGAAAGAATATGGCATTGGGATAGAAGATCAGCACAGTGAATGGTGAAGCAGCCTCAAGGGGCTGAATGGCCCATTCCTGCTCCTGTTTTCTTTGTTTCTGTAATGAAGAGGTTTGATAGAGTTGATATGGAGAGGATTTCTCCACTTGTAACCGAGATCAAAGCTAGCAGCTGGAAACACAAGATTGTATCTAATGCAAGAGAAAATGTAGGAGAGATTTGAGTGGTGAGAATGTGGAACATGCAGAAACAGAGAGTGGTTGAGACAAATAGTTTCACTACATTGAAGGGGAAACTGAATTTCCATGTGGCAGGAAAAAGGAATAGAAAGATACAGTGATAGAATGAGATGTAATTTGGCACGTAAATACCAGCACGGGGCCAATAGGCCACATGGTCTTTTTGTGCCACACTTTGCAGATCTTGTGTTATAGTGTTGAATCAACTTCTGTAAGTGTTGCAAAAACATATTACAAGTGGACGTAACCTTTTGAAATCATGTGGTTTTATTTTCCTGTTTGTTCGGGAGGGGTTGAGGGCAATTTTGGAGCTTAGTCAGAGGATAAAACTATCCACCTCCTTCAACTACTGAATTATGGTATCTCCACTTCCCATGACAGGATCACATTTAAACTGAATCTTTGTTTTTAAGAGAAACAAACTATAAAATGCTTTAAGGACAATAATAAAATTAATAAAAGACAGTGGTCCATGCAGCCTGTGGTACCCAGTTCTCCAGGACAACAAGGGATCGACACTAAATACTGGCTTAGCCAAAGAAACCCACATCCCATGAACAAATAATTAATGTTATAAAAAAAGTCCTGATGGCCAGTTAGTGAAGGCAATAGCCGAGTCAGTCTTCACTCGGGAAACATTTTGTTCACACGGTGAAATGTTCACAAATTGCTGCTGTGTGTCGGAACCTGTCAGTTTACATGAGCTGGTCCCACCAATGGCCTCCACCCACTTCAGTTGTTTATTCTTTCACAGGATGCAGGCAATGTTAACTGGGCCAGGATTGCCCCTATACCTTACAGCCTTGTCTCAACAAATGTTTGTTCAGTAAAGGAATTGAGGAGTGTGAGGGACAGGCAGGAAAGTGGAGCTGAGGGTTATTATCAGATCAGCTATGATCTTGTTTAATGGCAGAGCTGACTTGATGGGCTGCTCTGTGTGTTTTGGCCATCAAGAAGGTGACACTGAGCTAGTGCCACCTTGAATCAGTGAGTCCCAGGTCTTTTAGACAATTATCATTCTCCATTTTCTCACCATGTGTAACCTTGTTTTTAAATTTTTGCCCCACCCCCCAAAAAAAGCATGCTACAATCTGGGAGGAGTGAAGTGTGAAGCCAAGTCTTGAGGTGGATTGGGTGGGTTAAATGTTGGAATTTACACTCTGACCATGATAGTCCAGGAACTAGTCCAGGGAGATCTCGATCCCTCTGTCGCTCACTGGAATCAAAACGTTAACTCTCTCCACAGATGCTGCCAGACCTGCTGTTTCTCCAACGATTTCTGTTTCTTTTAGATTGTGATGATCTGAGACCTGAAACTGATGTCAACATTTAGCAAGGAATCAAATAAAGAGGGTGTTCTGGTGGGACAGTTGTAGTGTCCATACGCCTGAGCCAGGAGTCCCGTCTTTGAGTGCCTCCTGCTCCAGAGGTGTGTCATAACATCTCGAGCCAAGTTAATTAGGAAATATTTAAGAAAAAGGAATCAAATAAAAGTGCTTGAGCAAAGGAGTAAATAACCTTCATGTTTGGAGTAATAGAGCATGAGAGTGAGGTGCAACTATATAAGTCTATGACAGTGCATACTCGATGGGCTGAATAGTTGCCTCCACCTCTGCTGTAGCGTTCTGCAGTTACAAGTTTTGCTGCTGATCTTTGGTATTTGTTACACTTTACAACCTTCGACTGCTTATTGGTTTTTAACATTGGCTTTGACTCTCAGGTGCTGCGCTGCATCCCAACAGCACACATCCTTGCGTGTGCACCAACCAACAGTGCCACTGACCTCCTGTGTCAAAAACTCCAGAAACATGTGGAGAAACGGCACATTTACCGCCTGAATGCCGTAAGTCGGAACTGGGACACCATCCCCCAAGACGTACAGGTAATTCTCCCCTTCTGTTTGAAACAGTTGCTTATACCGAGCTCCCACCTGTGCAGAAAACCCAGAATTCAGATCCTCATCCCAGAATGAGTCCCAGGAACTTGCTTAGCCAGAGAGTCTTTGAAACGCAGGTCTCACTACCATGGGAAGTGCTAAAGCAAATAGTAAAGTAAAAACAAAGCTGCCATAGTCTTAGCAGAACATAGAACTATTCTGTCTGATTCAGAGTGATGACTTGTGACGGTTTAACCTGAGGATCAACACACCTTCGGCAGGAGGAAAGGTTGAGAAGGAGAATCAAAAACAGAAGTTGCTGGAAAAGCTCAGCAGGTCTGGCAGCATCTGCAAAGAAAAGATCAGAGTTAACGTTTCAGGTCGAGTAACCCTTCCTCAGAATGCTATTTCTGAGGAAGGGTTACTCGACCTGAAACATTAACTCTGATTTATCACCGTAGATGCTGCCAGACCTGCTGAGCTTTTCTAACAATTTCTGTTTTTGTTTCTGATCTACAGCATCTGCAGTTCCTTTGGTTTTTACTGAGAAGGAGAATCCTTAAGGTGTCAATATCTGAGGAGGATGCATTTCAAGGTTATATCAATAGAATTAGATGAACCCAGTTGGGACTTCTTAAAAATTTATCTTCTTGTGTGATCTGCACATCATTTCATGCTCATCCCTATTTGCCTTTGACCTGAATTACTAACGAGACCATTTCTGAGGGTGATTAAAAGTCACCCATATTACTAAATAAAAACCAAAAGAACTGCGGATGCTG